TTTCAAAGAGAAATACACAAATTTGCAAACTTACAAGGAAAGCCTCACAAGGCAATATGTTTGCACAATTCTAGAACAAGATAAGAACACTTAAAGATGGTTACAAATGAGCACAAATTGTGTTCTTGAAAGAAAAATGAATATTGAAAGGAAAATTGGCTTGATTTGCACAAACTTGTTGTTTGATGCTTTCTCTCTTGTTTCTCAATGATTTCTTGTTGTCTCTTGTTGATCAATGGCTTCAGAACTTGTTTAAATACTCCTTCAATTAATTTTGAACGTTGGGGATGATTAGTGGAGTCAATAGAGCTGTTTAAGTGTGAAAATAATTAATTAAATCAATTGGGAGCGTCAGTGCATCGATGCATACACAAGGTGCATCGGTGCATCAAGTGTAAAATTCAAATATTTTGACCGTTGGACCCTTAGTGCATCGGTGCACTAAGAGTGCATCGATGCATAAAATGCATTCGATGTTTCAAAATAGCCAAAGTGCATAGATGCATGGCTTGTGCATCGATGCATCAAATGCACTGAGTGCATCAATGCATAAAATGCATTTGATGTTCAATATATTCAATGGTGCATCGATGCATGGATTGGTGCATCGGTGCATCCCTTTAAAAAATTGATTTTAGGCTTGATTTTGGTTCAAAATACTTTGTGAAAATTGTTTCAAAAATATATTAAGTATAAAACACAATTTTACAATTTTAGTAAGGTTTGAAATTGATCTTAAAAGACTTGGAGTAATAATTTGATATTCGATTAATTAAATTGAATACACTTAGAAAATAATTTGTAAAATCTTAAAATTCATTTAAACTTAATTTGTTATATCGAAACATCAAAATGTTTTCAACAATCTCCCCCTTTTTGATATAACAAAATATTTTTGTAATTTTAAGATTTTCTTTGAAAATAAATTTTGAAATCAAGTTTGAAAAATTAAGTTTGAAATTACTCCCCCTTACTCTAACACTTCTCCCCTTTAACACTTTTACACTTCTTCCCCTTTTTGTTAAATCAAAAAGACTCTAAAAATGATTTAAACAAGGTTTTGAAAAACAAAGCCAATTGATTATAAGTAAATATAACTTAAGCTACTAAGATCGAAGATCAAGAGAGATGTTAGCCATTAGTTTCATAATCAATATTCATATCAAATGTGAAATGGTATAATTGGTCATAATGCAACTAATATGTAAATGATGCAAAAATTAATAAACATTAAGCTTAAAATCTATAAAGATGAAATATGTTCAAATATCCAACAACCAATAAATTCAAACATCCAAAACAAACAATCCAGAAACATCAAAATCAATACAAGTTTTAAAAACCAAGAAAGCATAACAAGGAAACAAATCTACTCCATCAGAGGATCGAGAGGAGGAGGATAATGAGCTCGTACTTCAAGAGTGAGAGCGTCTATACGTTCACGCATCTCCCACTGAAACTCAATAATCTGAGACTCTATGGAAGTAAACCTCATATCAAATGACTCTAAGAAAGATCAAAAATATAGTGGCGTTTGATCTTCTTGTCGAGCTGGTTCTGGTGCAGGTCATCGTCTGGTACGTGATCGTCGAGGGATCATCGTCAACAGCTGGTGCCGGAGGAGCACGAGAAGAGCTAGGAGCAGCTCGTGAAGAACTAGCTCCCAGAGTTTGCTTAGAGGGTCGAAAGACCCATTGACCAGTTACCTCGTCCTATTTCCAATCGGCTTTCTTCAACGAGATGAGATTGATTGGATTTGAAGAGGAATTGGATTGTCAAGAAAGACATTTAGACCGAGTTTGATAAAAAGGTTACTAATAAGACATCCATAAACTAATGTTTCGACATGTTTTGAAGGAACAATATTTATGATATCCACTAGTTGACTATATATAATGTGGGGCAGATTTATTTTGTTCTTATTCTTGATACAGTGCATCCAACATAAATCCCTAGTACGAAGAGTGGAGTACCTACCTCCGGATGGTCTAAACCACCAAGAGATCATCAAATGAAGAAAACGATCGTGATGAGATCGTAGAGTACTAACACTAGCATTTCGAACATAGGAATATTCCACAGTTTCATTCTCATTATATAACCCATCATCATCTAGCCCAAAACGGAAAGCTATAGTCTCGGGGTCAATATTAATATATTGGCCTAAAAGATAGGATCTAATTTCTATAGTCCCACATTGAGTTTGGTTTTGAATACATACCACATTAGAGTAAAAAATTTGGACTAACTGATGATAGACGATAGGTTTGAGGTGAAACATTTTATCAAACTTCCATGTTTTGAGAATCAGAAGGTATTCGAAGTCAATATCAATCATAGCTTGAAGAGAAGGAATACGCTCTTCCCGGATTCTATAAGATTAGAAAGAATTTATATATCTATGGTACAAGTCGTCTCTACGATGTTCAGGCATATTAAAATAGAGTCCTATAAGACTATTAGGTAGAGGAGGAACGAGATTAGGAGGACGGTTTGAATGACTCGATGAAGTCCTATGATGTTTAGGGTTGAACATGGTTAAGGAATCAAAATAAGGAATGAAACCTTGAAAATTTCGGATTTGAGAGGAATGTGATGTTGTTTTTCATGATTTAATGATAGTAGCAGGATAAAGAGATGAAAAGCTTGATGATTTCGACAAAATTTCGTTGATTTTGAGCAAGAAGAGAATTTAGAGAGGGAGAGAGGTGTACGGTGGATGAGAGTTTAGTTTTAGGGTTTGAAACAAATAAGAAAATAAGTCTTTTAAACCTCAAAACCTGACAAATGCATCGATGCATGGCCTTGTGCATCGATGCACATTCAAGGCGTGCATCGCTGCACCTTCATGGTGTATCGATGCACATTCAAAGGGATGCATCGATGCATTAAGCACAAAAATGTCAAAATTCCGTTTTAAACACTCAAAAATTCTAAATTATTTAGCTCTAGTGGTATTGGAAACTCATATATTGAAAATTAATCATGTTCAATCAATCAAATTAATCCTTAAACTACATTTGAACATAAAGTTAATTTTCACTAAAGAACATAAACTCCCCCTAACTAATAGCAAAGAATGCAACCAAAAATTATTATTATAAACATTTTTCATTTATTCTTAAAAGTGCTAAAAATATTTTAAACACTAAGTGAAGATAGGTTAGTTAAACCTAATTCTCTCCTAAGTGTCCAAAATATTTCTTTGTCTAAAGGTTTTGTAAAGATATCTGCTAATTGGTGCAAAGTATCAACAAATTCTAGAACTACATCTTCCTTAGCGACATGGTCTCTAATGAAGTGATGTCTTATTTCAATATGCTTAGTTCTAGAGTGTTGGATGAGATTTTTAGTAAGACAAATAGCACTAGTATTGTCACACTTGATAGAAATGGTACCTACTTCAATTCCATAATCAAAAAGTTGTTGTTTCATCCATAAAACTTGTGCACAACAACTGCCGGCTGAAATGTATTCCGCTTCAGTGGTAGATAATGCAACACAATTTTGTTTCTTTGAAAACCAAGAAATCAGCATATTTCCAAGGAATTGGTAAGTACCGGAGGTTCTTTTCCTATCTAATTTGCAACCTCCATAATCCGCATCAGAGAAGGCATGCAAGCTAAAACTAGAGTCTCTAGGATACCAAAGTCCTAAACTAAGAGTGTCCTTAAGGTATCTAAAGATTCTCTTAACAGCTAGTAAATGCGATTCCTTAGGGCATGATTAAAATCTAGCATATAAGCAAACACTAAACATAATGTCTGGTCTACTTGCAGTTAGATAAAGCAAAGAACCAATCATTGATCTATATAATTTAACATCCACACATTTACCTCCTTCATCTATGTCAAGCTTTGTTGATGAACTCATTGGAGTGTCATAAGGTTTCCTATTTTCCAGTTCAAACTTTTTGAGCATATCTTTGACGTACTTAGCTTGATTGATGAAGATGCCATCTTTTCTTTGCTTGATTTGGAGTTCTAAGAAAAATGAAAGTTCCCCCATCATGCTCATCTCAAATTCACTTTGCATTAACTTAGAAAATTCTTGGCAAAGAACATCATTAGTAGAACCAAATATTATATCATCAACATAAATTTGAACTACTAATAAATCTTTACCTTTATGCTTTAAAAACAATGTAGTGTCAACCTTCCCTTTGGAAAAACCTTTTTCAATTAAAAAGTTTGACAATCTTTCATACCAAGCTCTAGGATATTGTTTTAAACCATAAAGCGCTTTTGTCAATTTAAGAACATGATTTGGAAATTTTAAATCTTCAAAACCAAGAGGTTGTTCCACATACACTTCTTCTTTTATAAACCCATTTAAAAATGCACTTTTAACATCCATTTGATATAATTTAAATTCATGAAAACATGCAAATGCTAATAACATTCTAATTGCTTCCATCCTAGCTACGGGAGTGTATGTTTCATCATAGTCTATGCCCTCTTCTTGAGTGTACCCTTGAGCAACAAGTCTAGCCTTGTTTCTCACTATATTATCACTTTCATCAAGCTTATTCCTAAATACTCATCTAGTACCTACAGTAGATTTATTACTAGGCCTTTCAACTAATGTCCATACTTTACTCCTCTCAAATTGATTTAACTCTTCTTGCATAGCCATAATCCAATGTTCATCATTTAATGCTTCTTTAATATTCTTATGCTCATGCATGAGATAAATGTAACATAATTACAAATATTTCTAAGAGAAGATCGAGTTGTTACCCCTTTGGATAGATCACCTATAATCTCACCATCCTTGACATAGTTGTACTCTCTTGGGTACGATACTTCTCTTTCTTCAATGGTTGGATTCTCGAGAGGATCATGAGTTTCCTCATCTTTCGTTTCTTCATTTGATGATGGTTCTCCAACGTCATGTCTAACGTCATTTGTATTTATAACACATACATCATCATTCACACAAGAATCCTTCCTCGGAAGGAGATTATCATCGAAAACAACATGTATAGACTCTTCTACAACTAAAGTTCTTTTATTAAATACTCGATAAGCTTTAGAATTTAAGGAATAACCCATAAAAATTCCTTCCTCACTTTTAGCATCAAATTTGCCAAGATTGTCTTTATCGTTGTTTAAAACAAAACATTTACATCCAAAAGGATGAAAATAGCTAATGTTAGGCTTTTTATTTTTAAAAAGTTCATATGGAGTTTTCTTCAAAATAGGCCTAATCATTACTCAATTAATAACATAACAAGTGGTATTTGTGGCTTCCGCCCAAAAATATTTTGGCAAATTGTTTTCACAAAGCATGGTTATAGCCATTTCTTCTAAAGTTCAATTTTCCTCTCAACAACTCCATTTTGTTGAGGGGTTCTAGGTGCTGAAAAATTATGGCTAATACCATTAGAATTACAAAATTCAGTAAATCCAAGATTTTCAAATCCAGTTCCATGATCACTCCTAACACTAGTTATAGAGTAACCTTTTTCGTTTTGGATTACTTTTGAAAATGTGATGAATTTTTCTAATGCTTCATCTTTAGTACTTAAGAATAGAACCCAAGTATATCTAGAATGGTCATCTACCAAAACAAATGAATATTGTTTTCCTCCCAAGCTAGTAGTTCTAGATGGCCCAAAAAGATCTAAATGGATTAATTGTAATACTCTACTAGTTGATATATCATTAATGGATTTAAAAGAAACTCGTTTTTTTTCTTTTAGCACAAGCATCACAGATTTTATCATTATCAAATTTTAGTTTAGGCAACCCTCTTACTAAGTCTCCTTGAATTAGCTATTGCAAAACTATCATACTAGCATGTCCTAGTCTCCTATGCCATAACCAACTATCATGATCATCCTTAGCAACTAGGCATAAATTAGTCATATCTATGGAATCTAAATGCACCATATAAATATTTCCTATTCTATGACCAACAAGCATAATCCGATTAGATGCAATGTCAATAACTTTACAACCATTAGTTTCAAACATGACATTGAATCCCTTATCACATAATTGACTAATACTCAAAAGATTATGCTTTAATCCATTCACATATAAAACATTTTTAATTTGTATGGAAGATGTATTACCTATTGTACCTATACCTTCAATATGACCTTTTGAATTATCACCAAAAGTCACTTCTCCTCTATTTTAGGCATTAAGCTCTATTAACCGACTTTTGTCTCCGGTCATGTGTCTTGGGCATCCACTATCAAGGTACCATGAGTTTGAATTTGTTTCCCGTGCCTTGTAGCAATGCTCCTTTTCCTACAAACATAGATTAATTTCTAATTTTTGGTACCCAAATTCTTTTGGGTCTATATTCATTAGTTTCCAAAATCCTAGTCCCCTTAGATATTCATTTGTTTAAGATATCCTTATATTTAGTAGCAATGAGTCATTTAGGAACCCATATACTTCTAATGATTTTTCCATTAGAGGTTCTTTGGGGACCTCTATGATTGTAGTTTTTTAAACTTTTTCTAACAAAGTTGGATTTTGAATTTTCTCCATTTTCAAAATGTTTTGTTCCAACTTTATCAAAAGAAGTTTTAAGATCATCAATTTTGTTTTGATGATCATCATTGACCTTTGAAAGTAAATTTTGTAAATCCAAATTTTTCTTTTCAAACTTTTCAAGTTTGATTCGCAAATCTTTGATTTTACTTTCAAGATCGTTGTTGGTTTTGGATATGAGTTTATTTTCATTTTTCAATTTTGAAATATCATTTTTATATTTTAAAAATCAATTTCTCATAATCCGAAGCCAACCCATTATATTCCTCTAATAACTCATCATAAGATAAATCATCTAAATCAAATGAGTTAGAGGTTAACTTAGAATCTTCCCCGAATGCCATCAAGCATAAGTTTGCTACTTCTTGTTCCTCTTCATCGGAACCTTCTTCATCGCTCCATGTAGCCACATGAGCCTTGTGCTTATTATTTGATTGACCCTTTTTCTTTAATTATGGTAATCATATTTGACATGCCCCAATTTTTTGCATTCATAGCAAATGATCGGGTCCTTCTCTTTTGGTTCATTTTTGAAACCTCATTTCGTTTGAATTTTCTTCCTCGGTTAGGCCTCATCATTTTTCTGAACCGTTTGAGAAACAATGACATTTCCTCGTCATCGTCATCTTCATCTGAGTCACTTGAGAGCAACTCCCACGTTCTTCTTCTTCTCCGTCTCCTTCTTTGGCTCGTCTCTTTTCTCAAGGTCTTCCTCTTCTTTAAGTATCATTTCATGCATGAGGAGAGAGTCAATAAGTTCATTGATGGTCAAAGATTTTAAGTTCTTAGCCTCGATGATCGCCGTCTTCTTTGATTGCCAAGCTTTTAAAAGAGAGTAAACTAACTTCCTTACAAGCTTGTCATTTGGAATGATTTCTCCATATGATTTGAGACTATTAACAATTGTGGAGAATCTATCCGTCATAGCTTTGACATCTTCATCCGGTTTCATCCTGAAATTTTCATAGCTATGAGTTAGAAGACTAATTTTAGATTCTTTTACCTCGTTTGTGCCTTCATGAGTGACTTGTAGTTTTTCACATATCTCCTTGGCTGTTGTGCAAGATGAAACTCTCCCGTATTCATCCGGTCCAAGAGCACAATAGATAATATGGATAGCTTTGGAGTTGAGCTGGAACATTCTTGTCTCTCATTCACTCCACAATCTTGGATGAGTAGAAGGTTTGATGTATCCATCTTCTATGATATTTCATGCTCCATGTCACTTGCTTGAATGAAATACATCATCATATTCTTCCAATAAGCATAATTAGCTCCATTGAAGAAATTAGGCTTGTTGACGGGCAATGAATCGAGACCGAAGTCGGAGTTTAAAGTGCCGACCATTGATGACTTTGAAAATCGATGTAACTATTCCCAAATCGACTCAAGAGGCGATTAAACCTTCAAATGAGTGAGGCTCTGATACCAATTGTTGAGTTAATCGATCGACGAAATCGGCCAAGAGGGGGTGAATTGGCAATTAAAAATTTGGTGGAAGCTTTTGTAGAAAATTGAAAGTAATTGCACAACAATTTAGAGTGGTTTGACTTTCTCAACCAAAGGTTACGTCCACTACCTTAGCTATCCACACTAAGGATTTTCCAATAAATTCACTAATTTGTTCTTTTTTTTTAGGTCAAAGAGTAACCTTACAACTCCCTCAAGAATTATACCCCAATTCTTGAGCACACTCTTTTTCAAAGAGAAATGCACAAATTTGCAAACTTACAAGGAAAACCTCACAAGGCAATATGTTTGCACAATTCTAGAACAAGATAAGAACACTTAAAGACGATTACAAATGAGCACAAATTGTGTTCTTGAAAGCAAAATGAATATTGAAAGGAAAATTGGCTTGATTTGCACAAACTTGGTGTTTGATTATTTCTCTGTTGTTTCTCAATGATTTCTTGTTGTCTCTTGTTGATCAATGGCTTCAGAACTTGTTTAAATACTCCTTCAATTGATTCTGAATGTTGGGGATGATTAGTGGAGCCAATAGAGACATTTAAGTGTGAAAAAAAATTAATTAAATCAGTTGGTAGCGTCAATGCATCGATGCATACACAAGGTGCATCGGTGCATCAAGTGTAAAATTCAAATATTTTGATCGTTGGACCCTTAGTGCATCGGTGCACTAAGAGTGCATCGATGCATAAAATGCATTCGATGTTCAATATATTCAATGGTGCATCGATGCATGGATTGGTGCATCGGTGCATCCCTTTGAAAAATTGATTTTAGGCTTGATTTTGGTTCAAAATACTTTGTGAAAATTGTTTCAAAAAATATATTAAGTATAAAACACAATTTTACACATTTAGTAAGGTTTGAAATTGATCTTAAAAGACTTGGAGTAATAATTTGATATTCGATTAATTAAATCGAATACACTTAGAAAATCATTTGTAAAATCTTAAAATTCATTTAAACTTAATTTGTTATATCAAAACATCAAAATGTTTTCAACAATTACGCATTCCTTGGCTTTGCTAACTTGCATTGCATTATCCTCCATGAATAAAAGAAGGCTATCTCCAAAAAAAAATAGATGACTAACATTAGTGCCTCTTCTAGATAAATTTAAAACTTTCTAATCACCATTATCAATTACCTCAAGAATAATGTGAAATAATCTTTCCATAACTACCTTAAGTATTTATTTTACAGTTCAAGTATTCATAAATTATTACGATAATTTCTTTGTAGATGGAACATAATTCTATTCATAAAACAATAGTTGGAGTTGCTGCTTCAGCATTGGCTTTTGGGGCTCTTTGGATTCACATAATTAAATCTAGAAAGCAAATAAGTCATCAATGTCAGCTGAATCGAGATGACGAAAGAGAAAATTACATCAATAGTATTTTATATACAGGTGATTAGAATTGTATCGACATAATACGAATGTGACCGCTTGCGTTCTTTAATTGTGTGGCATCCTTAGTATGAACAATTTTTTACAGTCGACAAGATCGGTGAATGTTAAGGAGCAAGTTATCATATTTTTACATATTATTGGTCATAATATAATATTTCGAGTGATTGGATCAAGATATTATAGATCAATTGAGACAATTCACCATTACTTTAGGATTGTGCTGAGGGCTATTCTGAAGTTATATAAATTAGCTATTAGGTTACCCGATGAGTCAACTCCTCCTGAAATAATAAACAATTCAAGGTTTTACCTATATTTTAAAGATTGTGTGGGAGTATTAGATGGAACTCATATTCGTACATCTGTTCCACCTAACATTCAATGAAGGTTTCATAGTCGTAAAGGGGGAACAACATAGAATGTATTAGCTGCCATTAAGTTTGACCTGAAATTTTCGTATGTTCTAGCTGGTTGGGAAGGCAGTGCGCATGATTCTTGTATTTTAACTGATGCACTTACACGCCCAAGAGGATTTAGTATTCCAGAAGGTAATAATTAGCTTTAATAATATAAATTAATTAATTTCAACGCATAATATATTAAGTAATAATAAT